GGGGGGGGGGGGGGGGGGGGTGTACTAATGGTCGTGCATGCCGTAGTCGTTAGGCCATTGACCTCGCATCCCTACAAAGCCGGGACGGAGCACGCCGGGTTCGCACCGCACCAGGCTCTCACATCACGAAGCGGGTGGGGGTGGTGTATTTTGCTGATCCGTCGCTGTTTCCGTCTCTCTGTCTGTCACTCTGTCTGTCTCTCTCTCCGTACCTGTATCCTGACGCGGGTGCGGCGGGTGCGGCAATGACTGACTTCACAACGAACACGGGTTTGGTGCGCACCTCACGTACCACCAACGACCCGACACTGCCTGTAATATGATGTGGTTCTGCTGTAGATCGCAAACGTCGGCTTCCTCGACGTCGACCAAGAAACCCTGGGGAACGCGCTGGCGAGCGAGACGATGTTCATCCATGGCAGTCTTTCCGGCGGGGGCGGCACCCAGTTCGCCTCAGGTGCCACGGCCGAGAAGGGGGGTAACGCGGCGGCGGCATCGGAGGGCGGGAACTCGCTCAGGATAATGGCGTCCTTGGAGGCCAACGCAGCGGGGGAGGACGTCGGCGGCGGTGGCCCTTCCATCAGGCTGGCCACGCCAGAGTGTCGGACGGAGTGCGGCAGCACCGTGAGCTGGGACCTTCTTGGCGGCGGCGGCGGCGAGGATGGCGTCATGGACATAGCCACTGTCTGCGACCACGCCACGTGCTCGGCTGCTACGGCGGGGAGCGCGGACGGGAAGCCAGGCGCGTGGTCTTGCGGCGCCGGCGACGAGGAGAGGTTCGGCAAGCACTGCCGCTCGTGCTACTTCGATGCCGAGGAGGCCCTCAAGGCCGACCGGATCCTGCAGAATCAGGCGCGTGAGGTCGGCGAGGTGCAGCCCCGCCACGTCATCATGTGCGACACTCTTCGCCCCCCGGAGGCCTCGACCTGCAGCCTCAAGTGCGCACTGAAGAAGGATACAGTGAGTGGTGTTGCTATCTACTTTCTTTGGGGGCTGATGCCGTCACTTTTACGACGAAGAGCCCTTGCCCTGCACGTAGGAGGCGAAACATGGCCTCAAACACCGTGAACGAGCCATTTTCCGCGCTTTGGATAGCTGCCGGTTCTCGTGTTGGACATGGAACAGAAGAGGCTTTCCGCGTCTGTCTGTGGGTTCTGCTTCGCTATCCGTGGTTGGTGTTGAACATGGCGTCTGTTCACCCCTCGCTGCCGCTCTCCTTGTGGAAAGCATCTCCGACTTCTATGCGACAAAAGATAGACAGAGTTTTTTGTTTGTGGTCTACGGGTGGTACGAGGTGAACAGCGTCGGCTGAATCGCTGGGAGCTACGTTGGTGCGTTCGTGACAATTAATAGGCACGCACAAACTCAAGCATGCGCCCTCCCGAACCTCATGTAAACCCCGTCTGGCTGTATGTACCACCGCAGATTTGTGACGACAGGTGCGAGTCTGGGCTCTTCGGCAACTACAACTGCAACTGGAGAGATCACGGAGGTATGGCACGAAGGTGTGGCAGGGGGGGGGGGGGGGGNGGGGGGGGGGGGGGGCATTGTGTTGGCGTACATAGCACGGCGACGAAAAGTTCCTATTAATAGGTGAACAGGAGGAAAGGTGAAACCTCGCCTTAAGTCACTTGACCCCGAACCACGCGCCCCTTACCGGGCGAGGCAGACTCTCCTACTCCTGGTGTAGACGACGCGCCAACGTTCGGGCGCTCTTAAGGTGGCTACAGTGTTTCACCATACAATCCTATCTCCGTTCGTCTTGGGCGTTTCGTGGCCGCCATTCATCTTCCATCATTGGTTGCGATCGACTCCTGACTTTGGTTGGAAAGCTATGCTACGGTAGGGGGGATACCCCTCGTGACCTGCTTTTTGTAGTCAATTAGCTATTGGGCCCGTGTTGTGTGACGCTCTCCAATACTTATTGTTATTTCAATCAATCAGTGGCTGACGCGGGAACACAAGTAAGTGTGCGTACAGAATTGGTGTACTCTGGCTGGTCAAATATAGCGCAGTCCTGTGGTGTCGGTCACACATGCCCTATAATGTGACCCCCCTACCGTAGCATTACTCTGGACGCAAATGATCTTGTTCACCCCCGCGCCAGAGCATTGTCGGTTCTGCTTCGACGACACGGCGGCCGCGATCGTGGCGGATGAGACAGCCAAGCGCATGGGGGGCAGGGTCATCATGTGCAACACGCACGAGCCCCCGGTGGAGCGGACTCAGGCCGAGATGGATGCCTTGGAGAAGAAGCGAATCGAGCACGTCATGGAGGCGACGGCGTCAAAGATGGCGAACGCGGCTAAACAGGGGAAAAAAACGTCTAACACGAAAGGGTGCGTATCGTTCCAAAAGTAGGGGTAACCGCACGGATAGGACAAAAGAGACAATAAAGCAGTCGGAGAGATATTCCATGTGCAAGGAACAGTGTTGGGGCAAGTCAGCCGCAGTTCTGGGTACCGCGGCCGCCGCGGGGCACGGCCACCACCGAACCGAACAAAAGTGCTGAAGAAGTACTACCGTAGAACGTCAGCCCCCGTCAACCATCCGCGCTCCGCCCTCCCCTGCCGCCGGGGTGCTCGCACTGTCCCCCGAACCAATCAAACCTATGCTATGTCACAGGCATGCCAACCCCGGCGGAAAGGCCGCCGGTGATGAGGGGGAACCTGACGCCCCGGTGCACCCTGCGATGATAGAGTACTCGGAAAACCTGCTTCGCGGGGAGATGTGCGCGTTCTCCACGGCGTACCACTTGTACCTGCGGGAGACCGAGGCAAGCGTGAGGAGCCTGGCGCATTTCCTGCCCGGCATGAGGGTGCGGCTTGCGGTGGACACTATCCACTTCTCCGTGTTCAATCGGTGAGCGGGGCGGCGCGGCGCGGTGCGGTGCGGTGCGTTTCGGTGCGTGTGATCGTTGGCCGCGAGGGGGCGGGGCCTCTGTGTGCTGCCGTTGCATGTTTTGTGGTGTTGCTTCGCCGTTTGGTTCTGGCAGGCGGACGAAGAATGGCCGACGTTGAAGCCTTGATTAGAGATGGTGTTTACCGGGATCCTTCCGAGTTAGGACGCAGCCAAGAGGCACGTAGGCCCGTCTTCCGTCGTGGGCGTCTCTCCTTCCAGCTGCCGTTCTGTTGGAACGCGTCGGACCGCGGAAAATAGAAGCTGCACCTGATAAATGAAGACGAAGTATAGCTAAGTCAACAGAAGGGCCTGAATGAGCTTGAATCCCACTTAATGGAGGATAAACTGTCCACCCTGTACCTGCCCCTGATTCTACTAAAGAAGAGGCTAAAAGAAGAATTAAAGGAGGCAATAGCCAAAAACTAATATTATTCATACGAGGAAAAGCCATATCAGGAGCACCAATCATTAAAGGAACAAACCAATTACCAAAACCTCCAATAAGAACTGGCATAACCATAAAAAAAATCATNTTACCTGTCCTTTAAAAGGATTTTCTTTTTTTACTTTAAGCCAAAAAAATATCTTTTCCTAAAACAAAAAGTTTAAAAAGTTCATTCCAAAATCTTCTGGCCAAGTCAACTTCCAGGACGTGACGGGCGGTGTGTGCAAGGCCCAGTGACATATTCACCGCGACGTCCTGATTCGCGATTACTAGTGATTCCAACTTTACGGGGGCGAGTTGCAGCCCCCAATCCGAACTACGAAAAGGTTTTAAGATTGGCTCTGAATTACTCCATTGCAACTTTTTGTCCTATCCATTGTAGCACGTGTGTAGCCCAGTTTCATAAGGGCCATGAAGACTTCACCTCTACCGATCGGTTGGATCCCTCGGCGAAGCTACGGTCGGTCGCGATGACCGGCTTGCGCGATCGCAAGGATTACGACGGCGGTCCTGTATCTTCCTCGGGGCGTGTGGTAGAATCCCCTCAGGACCTTGTAGAATGCGTCGGCGAATGCCCAGGTGTAGAATGTGGAGGAGGCGAATGTCCAGCATCATCTCGTTTCCTCTTTGGGGCGGTCTCGGGCCACACCTTTCTTGCCACGAATAGGCGCTGTGCGCTACTGCTGTGCCCTCGGCCGCCCCCGCCCCCCCGCTACGCGCGCGTTTGTCGCCTCGCGAGCAAACGACGTTAACAACAACAAGCTTACCCGACCCCCCACCCCAAACACGCCAAAACGCGGCTGAACCCCCTCGCCGCCATCAGGACCCTCGGCGGCTACCCAGACGTGGAAATCGTCAACGCGACCACGACGGGGGGTCACGCCTCCCTTCTCGCCGACGTTCACTGCGGCGAGGGCACCAAGCTCATCCTCTACCTCGGCCCGGGGGACGTCGTGTCCCGCCCTTTCTCGAAGAAGGACACCCACGGCACCTGTGGGCAGTTGCTCGTCCCATACACGGAGCCCGACAGACTGGACGAGTACCACGTCAGGCGGACTCAGGCCACGACCTTCTTGCTCGGCTTCGACGCGCCCTCCTTTTCGTGAGTGCGGCGTGTACGTATGTGTTATTGTTCCTAGCATCGACCGCGCTAACCTGCTGACCAATGCGGCGTGTGGGTACGTTCTTGCCGCTAGCGGTTGCTTTTTACTTTCTACCCGATCCTCTCTATTGTTGTTGTTGATGCTGGCTGTTGCTCTTGTTGGTCGTCGCTCACGCAGGTCCTCTTCGTTGGTCGAGCCCCGGTCGATGCTCCATTGTATTTTTTGTGTCTTCACTCCAAATCGGCGCTCACAGCACTAGTGCCGTTTTACTCCAACCCGTGGTGACACCGAAGAGCCCCTCTCTCCCCTCCCCTCCTTGGCTACTTTGCCTTTGAATTTTAATGCGAGAAGAGTTTAGCACTCCCTTCCCTCTGTGTACACACGAACTAGCGCAATCCACTAGGCCAGGAGCGGAAGCGAGAGAAAAACTCACTTTGCAAGAAAAACTCGCTTGCGCCGGTATTCGCACCCCCTGACCTGACCTCGAGAAGGTTTCGAGGATACCAACTAGACCACCGGGGCAACCGGCTTATACATTGGTCCCAAGCAAGACGCACACATCATGCGTAAACACGAAGGGAATGATTAAATAGAACCAGCAACAACGTACGCAGAGGGAGGCAGAAATAACAACACGAGCACTAGAAACCTCGGCCGACACGTGCGTTACTCTTCATCTGTAACAGGTTATGTCTTCAGTCCGTCGGAGGATAACCCAGCCTTCCCCTTGACGCCCCGTCACGGGGATCCAGATCATCGTTGCCTTCAGAAGCGCGTTTTTTCCCCGTTTTCCGCCGCGTCGAGACTGATGTATGTTCATTGGTCAGCCGGATAGAGCGGTCGACGCTCGTAAAGCAAACCCAGCCGGATAGAGCGGTCGACGCTCGTAAAGCAAACCCATAGTCTACATGTGCAAGCACGCATTTCTTAACAGAACGATACACAGGCACGCACGAAAATTATTACTCTTTTCACGTGCGCGTGGGCCCGCACGTTGACCCGCACGTCTTTGCTTCATGCATGCTTGTGTCTCCCGCAGGTATGGAGCGGATCTCTTCTTGCCCGCGTGGGTTAACCCCGAGTTGCGCCGCGTTCTGGCGAGCGGGACAGCGCTCCCGTCCAAGGCATGGGAGCCCGATGACAGAGACTTCCAGCGGATAGCCATGTCTATCTTGATGAAAACCGAGGACGCCTTCGTCCCGGAGGTGCCACGCGCGCGTGTGTGTTGGCGGATGGTGGTGGCAGCAGCGCCGGAGGGAGGGGGTGCAGAGCTGCTGGCTGATTTTCGCTCATTTTCCTACCATCCTTCCGGCGTGCAAACCCACTCCTCCTCCTTCGTTTACAATTGTTTCTGCTGGTCTTATTGACGGACGCACACATGCCCTTCAACAAGCCTCGCGCATTGCTTCCATACTCCGTGACGTGCTAAGCTGAACACAAAGCCCTCGCCCCCTCTTTGCCTTCCATCATCCTTGCGTGGTACCCGTACGCGCATACCCGCTCCACACGGACGGACGGACGGACAGACGCATGCTCCAACCCAATGGTTTCAAAAAATAAATGCAGCTGCTGGCGGTGCTGGCGTACTCGCGGAACCCTCCGGAGATCTGGTTCCTCAACCCGACGCAGTGGGTGACCCACCACATGTTCAAGCACGCCTCCGTGTGGGACATCCCCCTCGTCAAGCCCCGCTTCTTGTGCTCGGTAAACCTGTTGCTGGCGAAGCAAGGCGATGACGTCGCGCGCGAGCTCAACAGGTGAGGCGTAGGAGATGGCCCATCGTCCATACCCCATCTTGCTCTTGTTGTGTACCTTGTCAAAAGCACGGACTGACTGCTGCTGCCTCAAAAGGAGGTAAGAACGGAGTCGGTGGAGTGCTCTTGCGCGAGTCGAGCACATCGGGGGCTCCAGGAAATGGTTGCGACATCATCGGTACGATCGCGTCTGCGACCGGGAACGGAATCAGGATCAGTCGTGCCTGTGACGAATGGTTCCCGCCGGGGATTGCGCAGGCATACGAGGTCGGGGAGCTGGGGGGGAAGGGGGTGGGGGTGGGGGTTACGCCAAATGCATACTTGAACATGCCAGTGGCCGTGTGCACCATGATTCGACCTTGTGTCGCGGGTTAGTCTCACCGCGTGTTCGGACGAGAGATGAACCTCCCCCGGCGATATAGGCTCCGGGTCAACCTCCAACTATTGCCAGATAACTTAGCGCCATAAGTTCGATTCTGTCTCTGGAGTTGTTTTTTTCCGGGATCTTTGTCCAGCAACCTGTGGTTAAACGGGATGTAGGTCGCGAGCAAACAAACTTCGGCTTCACGATTGACGAGGGAAAGGGACGGTTGAACCATTCTCGCGATAAAAACAAAGGCAACCACCGCAGGAGGAAAGGTGGGGCAAAAAAAGGAAACAGAAAAATGAATAAAAACTTATGTGCTCCTGTGTGAGCTTCCTCTTGTGTGACCCCGGCTGATACGTCAGGTGCATACGACGAAAGGCCTGTAGACCGGCTCCAAACTAGATGGGACGAACACACACATTGACAGCATCATCGTCCATCCCGATTGCCAACCACGAAGCTTGGCTAGGGCTTTGCTTCGAAGCACACACGCCCACATCTTTCACTGGTTAGCCCGTCAGCGCGGCAGATGCTACAGTGGCATATGGGAAGAGAGATGATCATTTTTGTCGACCGCTCTGATCTTCCACACATGGGGCGCCGGAGAAATAGAGAACTGCCCGGCCCTAAAGTTGTGGTAGAAAGGTTAACGAGGAGGATGGTATGTCGAACAACAACATGCGGAGGGAACCAGAACGAACACGAGCAGATTGTGGAATCCTCGGTAGACACGTAGGTTCCTCTTCATTTTCCACCGTTTCTGTGCTTCACGCGGAGATTACCCTAGCCTCTCGCAGGTCGTCCCCGCACAGCGCCTTAGATCATGCATGGCTATTTAGTTGAAGCAGCTTTTATTTTTCAGCCGCACTGAGACTGAAATCTTTTCGTTGTTCAGCCGGCTAGCGAGGTCTATGCTACTGTTCAAGACACACAACACACGCGTGTGTCTGCCGTGTCAAGGGGACACAGGTCACGGCTCTTGAAGTTGTTATTCCGGTTAGCCGCTCACGTCTTTTCATTGGTCAGCCGGTCGATGCAATACAACGTTAAAGACACACAGGTACACAGCAGATGTGCACACGCGGGTACTCCCCTTATTGGATTGCAGGTTCGCTGACTTCAGCGACGGGGGCCGTGGCAAGAAGTGCGAGATGGGCTACCTGCCCCTAGACACCTCCAAGCTCCACGCCAAGCCCCACGTCGAGTACGGCTGCGCGGCGACAAACCACCGCCCCATGCCCATGGTGGAGGACCAGCGGGTGAGCCTGTTCTACGACGCAACCGTGGCCCCCGCCGCCGTCGCCGCTGCCGACAAGAACGGCGTCGGCGGCGTCAGGAACGACACCCACGCCGAAGGCGCCCGGATGCTCAACGCCACGCTCCCGACGGTGCTGATGAACTTCCCTGGCGCTCTGGAGGCGGTGATCGTCGTCCCGAACACGGACGCGTGGAGGGAGTACCAGCTGGTCGTGGGGGTGCACAATAATAGCGACACCCCTTTCGACATCAAGGTCGTTAACGTCGGCGAGGATGATGCTAGCTCGGACTGGGTGTCTAAAGACGGGACGGGGAGCGGGCTCGGCGAGGAGGCGTTGCCTCGGAAGGCGATTGGACAGCGTCGGGGCAGCGAGGCGGAGGAACAGCCGTTCCCCCCCCTGTGGGCCGACACGTACTGCTCCGGGAAGTTTGTCCTGCACCTGGACCTGAACTCCGTACTGCTCGAGAGAATAACGTACGACCACATCTTCCATTTCGAGAAGCCTGTCATCCCCTTCAATAGGTTTCAAGACGTAGGTGAGTTAGGAAGTGACCGAGGAACTCAAAGTGGCTGGACGGGACGCGTGGGTTGGCGGGGCAGAGGAGGACTGATTGGACCAGAAGGTTTTGGGGGTGGTTTTCGTCGTCAAAAACAGTTGTGCGGTTCTGATCCGGGGTATCCCGGCCTGGTACGCGGATCTTACGGCGTGTCTTAAATAACACAGAATAATTACTTCCAAAATACAAGGGACAGGTAACGTGGAACCCGGAGTAGACATGTGGCTGACGGCCCGAACACATCTTTGTACTGTGGCTCTATTTTATAGCAACGTTTTGGTCACGGCAGACCGCTATTAACAACATATTCGCCTGATTGAGAGCGAAGTATCTGATTGAGAGCGAAGTATCTGATTGAGAGCGAGAGCCCAAAAAATTGAAATTTCGGGTCCAGACGCCTCTGGCCATTTCTTGGCAAGTAGGGGACGGGCTATTCCAAGAAGCGGTGCAAATTGAAGGTCTCATCAGCAGCTTCGCGAGCATATGCGTGTCATCGTCATCGGATGCTGCAGCGAGGAGCTAGACAAGTTGCTAGATTTGCCCAGATTGGCTATTTCTGCTCAAACTGTTTCAGGGCGGTATCGCGTCGGGCGGTGGGCTCTGCTGTAGCTTCTGCTCCCCGCTGTAGCTCCACAACGAGAGACTCCCACAGGATGACCAGGGTAGCGGCTTGAAGCTACGGGCTAGCCCTTCAATTCAAGCTACACAGCAAGCTCCACCTCTCAGTGGTAGTCCGGCTACAGCGTATCGCGCAATCTCGCTCTCAATCAGATGCTACGCTCTCAATCAGGCGAATATGTTGTTTATTATTTTTGTGCTTCGACCGAGCGCATCGTTTTCGATCGGCCCGTTCCATAACAACTGCCCAGTGGTCCCCGAAACGCGCTCACAGCGGAGGCAAAGAGCACCAAACAGGTGCCTGAAATGGTTCAAATTGACGGGTGTGTGTGTGGTGGTGGAATGATTGTGACTGATCGGGAGATGTCCCCACCGCAGGTGTTGCCTACCAGCTACCATCGTAGCTATGTTCCCGGTCGAATCGCCGTCGGCAACGCAGTTGGCGACCCTTTTCGCGTGTTTCCGAAATAAGTCCGGGTCACCGATGATGCCGGTAACTCTTTCAAGAGCGGTTGGTTTCGAACCCGGTGGGGGGGCGAAAGCTCGCGAAGAAATGCAAAGGACAAGCTACTACAGCAGCTGTGCGTGGCTACCATCCCCAAGCATATGCACTTCCCGCTCGAGCGTGCCGCATATACATAGTTTGCACACCTATTTGCGTAGCGTCGCATCGCCTGCTCTTGCTAATCCCCGGCATGTAAAGTAATAATAAAAAAATAGTATGTATTTGCCGCATGACGTCCACTGCAGCAACACGCCGACACCCCCTAGCCTTCTTAGTTCATCGTTTTCAAGCAAGGCGCTGCCGTGCTGGATTTGTGCGTGGTGGAGCTTCCGTGTCGTCCCGCTGAATGTGGCTAGCTCTGTTGGGTACGTTACAGACACACAACGGTACGTAGCGAATAACGAGCGGCTTCTACGTGCTCCCGACGATATAAAGTTCCGCGTCCCGTGGTGCGGTCTCCAAGTTCTGCTTGTAGTAACCAAGACCCGGAATTTCTGCCGTAGCCAACATCCCGCTTCCTTTAAGCATGAGCCACCAGTCCCTCAAAAGAAAAAATAGAACTGCCATGCTTTCTCTCCAGCCTTTGATCTGCCGAACCTCAATATTTTTATTAAAACCTCGCGAAACACGTTGTTGTTTTTGTTGTGCCGCATCACCACACCACCACGCGCGGCACACACACGCCAGAAACTTGGCAAACGAGAGCGCATCCCGGCAACGCGTGCTGGCGACATAGGGCCCGCGCGTTTCTAGACCTGCCCGCGGGAGAGAATGTCGTGCACGGTTTCGCAGGCTACGACGCGCACGTGTACCCGGTCGACCTCTACCCCGCCTTGCGGGACCACTTGAGAGCCGCCACGGAGGGGTCGGGGGAGCTGATGGAAGCAATGAAGCAAGGGGAGTGCACCTTCGGGAAGAGCGACTTTTTCAGGCCGTCGACGATGCGCAGAAAAGCCGAAGACCCCGAGAAGCAACAGCTGTTCCGGCGGGAGATGCAGTACAATCTCATGGCAACGTTCTTGTGGTGAGGGTTGCGCGCCCGGCGAATAAAAACTGGGCGTGCTTGTTGCTTGGAGAGAAGGGTAGAGGGGCGGACGGACCGGGGTTGGTGGCTGAAAAAGAAAGATATATGCCTCGTCACCCCCCCCTCCAAAACCCCGACACCAACGGACTATAGCTGTAACAGGTAAACCAAGTGATGCATAGGTACAAAGTGGTTTTGTTGTTGCCCAGGGTGCCACTTCCAGCTTGGTAGAGAAGATGGGTTGGTACCCTTGTTAGCTGTGAAGGGGCCATCGAGGCGTGCGTCTCAACCAGACGACCGACAGAAAAACGCGCGCACAAACACGAGGCAGAAAAACCTTTTCGACAAAGCATGTGCTCGTTCGTGTTTTCATCCCGCAATACAACATAGACACACACACACTACAACCACTCGGCGTATGAAGCCTTTTGCAAGGGTAATTTCGACGACGAAACAGCCTTGCTTCGCCCAAAGGCTTTTCATACCAATAGGATTCCGAGACGGTTTACCTTCGGGCTGGCTCGTTTTCTATCCGTACGAACTCGTAATGTTTTCAAACGTCATGGACTACTTTTTGATCACTTCCCACCACGGCCAGTAGGTGGGGATCTCGGTAGTATTGCAGATAGAAACGACCAGGATGGCAATGAGGGGGATTCGTTCGGAAGCGATGGAAGGAGGAGAGGGAACGGGAGGAGGACAAGACAGATACCAAAGCAGCAGCCGAGGAGGGAAAAATGGCGTGAAAGAGAGCAAGAGCTTCGAGCCAAATGACCTTCCCCACCACAAACGACGCAGGGCGTGAAAAGAAATGTCGAGAAGTTGCCGTGAAAACGACCATGAGAACAATGGGGTTGGAAGGAAGGAGGATGACGGTGAAAGCACTCCAAAACGAATTGAGTGCAAGGTAGCAGTCTTCGTAGGCGTGTGCAGTTTTCTTCTGTTGGTACCATTTCTGTCTTGGATACGAAGACTACGATAGGCTCCCCCATGCCGCCCCCTCACGGGGTCCCAGTGAGTGGCATATAGAAGTGTTTTGTGTTTTCAACCGCACTGAGACTGACGACGACGTCTTTTCGTCAGGCGGTCAGCGCGGTTGATGCAAAAAATAAAAAGAACACGCCGCACTGAGACTAACGTGTTCTCATTGGTCAGCCGGTTAGCGCGGTCGATGCTAAAAAGAAAGACAGACACACATACACGTACCTCAACTCCGCCCACCCCGTTGACGGGAAACTCCTCCTCCGTCCCTTCCTCCTCCTCCTCACAAAAATCGCGACCAACAATGAACAACAAGGTATCGGATGCACGACAGTATCCACTGGAGTGCGATCGACCCTTTGGACCTGACCCCCGACGAGTGGATGACCGATCCGGACAAGTATCGGTCCTGGTCCTGCAATCTCGGCGCGGGGCGCGGGCTCCCCGCGATGCCCGCCGCTGCCGCCGAGATATTGAGGGAAACGATACTCGATACCAACACGGTAGTGGCTTGTGAGGGACTGGGGGCTAGTTTGAGTGTCCAGAATTCGCAGTAGACTGCTGCGGTTGCTGCTACACCGCCGGCTGCTGAAGTTGCCATCGACGCGCCATTGCGGGCTGGTCCTGTGGGGTTGTCCGCGCGTTTTCTTGCTGCGTGATATCATCATGGGTAGGTCTACAGAGTATCGGTGGTGCCAACACCAATCAAACCAGGAGAGAATCAATTGGTACCTGATATTCATTCTTTTTATCATTTAGCGTCGGTGCGAATGGCGGGGGGGAGGAAGCACGGAAAGTTTGTCGTGCGTTTCTGGAGATGTAATTGCTTTTCTATGGCCTGCTGCGCTGGGTTGTCAGACCGTGAGCGATTGCGCCCCCTTTCAGTGAGATGGCGCCCTTATAGTGGTGGGAGTTATTATTGTATTATTGTACCAGTCGATGTGGTAGCGGCCCTTCGTTTGTTTTTCTTCGTGGGGCAAGGGGACGCCACGAGTGTGTCGTTGTCTCCTAAAAATATTTTTTTTGCGGTCCATGTAGGGGTAATTTCTTCCTGTGCTTGCTTCTCTCCATGGGCAGGGGGACGCTCCAAAGGAATTGTTATTCCTCGGAGACTACTTGTGGACGTGTACTTGCTAACACCGTAGAGGGGTGTGTTCATTTTTTGTCTTTGGCCTCGTCCGATGTAAACATGTACACCTGCCATCCATGCGATCATTTAGATGGGGCTGTTCGGAGGAGCCAACCGAAAGCAACAACACAAGTTTCGCCCACCACGCGGGCGGCGTTGCCCGCGCCGTCCGGTCTGTCACTCTGTCTGCTGTCTCGTGCCCGCCTTGCTTTGTCGTCCGAAATCGCGTGTGGGTGCGGTGTGCCTTCTCTTGAAAGTTCGCACCCGCCGCGCTGACGGGCTGCTGACAAATGAAAATACTTCAAAACAAAAAACGTTTTTCGCCTGCTGCTGCGTTGCTGTTGTGCCTCTCGATGTACGTCGTGTT